GATTCAATACTTAAATACTGTGTACTTGTTAGAGAATTCCAAACAATAGAGGCAAATTCAAGCCGTGAACGAACTAAAGCACAAAATAAACGAATCATACAAGCAGGGCGTCTGAACTTTTTAGTTATACGATATATGATACCAAGAGTTTTCATCGCACGGCCAACAATAAAGGAAACATGAGCATTAAAGGGGTCATGAAACGATTTTCCTACTTCTTCCTTTTTAGCTTTAATCCTCAACTCAAATGCGAATTGTGAAATCACATGGTCGTGAGATTCCTTCGGCACCGGTGCGATGACTCCTAGCTTCCACCGTGCTTTTTATGCACACCATAGAACTTGTCATTCCCCAGTGACAATAAGTTCCGTCAGGGCACTCATTGGCCACGAGCGCGAATCCAAATATTCGTCGACGGATTGATTGTTGACGAGCGCACACGTCCGAATGACGCAGTTCTCGTGTCCAATGCGTGAGCTGGGCTCTGCTGACGTCAGTTTGACGCCGGTGACGCGCTTTTGGAACCGCGGATGTATCATAGTGAAAAGGCGGAGAGCTTTCGAAGGCAAGACGGTACAAAATAGTCCGCTATATTTTCAAATGTTCGTACCGAAAAGCTGGCTTTTGACTTTCTAGCCTCTTTCTTTTGGCCAGCTAAACGATATGCGATTAGTAAAGTCCCAATTTAAAATCCTTCATCCCAACCCAAAATTCGTTTCATGGCCCCTTTAAATGACAACGCGCTATCAAGGCACACACCGAGATCTTTCATCACAGTCGCGCGTTCGATTGGAGTTCCTCCCAAAGAGTAGGTAAAATGCATAACAGTGCGTCGTCCGCTCAAAGGAAGAACCTTAGTTTTGGTAGGATTTAAGAGTAAATTATTCGCCAAGACCATTGCAGTATGTTGTTCACTTCGTGCTGAAGAGCATTACAATCAAGAGGAGTAGCAACGCCCATAAATATCTCAATATCACCCGTAAAGAGTAGAAGCTCAGCTTTTTTTACACATGAGGCTATATCATTAACAAACATCAGAAACAAAAGAGGCCCAAGAATAGACCCCTGGGGGACACCTGAAGTTGAGTAAAATAGTTTAGAAGGGACACTAGAAATTCGAACATGATCCGTACGACATGACAAGTAGCTTTGAAACCAGCGAAGTACTTCAGAACAACAACCGTGTAACGATAATTTGTGGAGCAATAGCTCATGGTCAACTATATCGAATGCTTTAGACATATCAAAATAAATGGCATCTACCTGTCCCCTGTTGGTTAAAACAGGTACAGCGAAATATAAAAAGGAGCACAAGTTTGTTTCAGCTGACAGTCCCGTAATGAACCCGTGCTGCGAAGTCGTTAATTTTTGATGAAAGTAATGAGTTATTCGTTGATAAATAACTTTCTCAAACACCTTAGAAAAGCCGCAGAATAAAGAAACAGGCCGATAATTACTGACAACCGATGAATCGCCCCCCTTTAATATTGGCACGACAACCGCTTTCTTCCATGACAATGGGAATAAGCCAGAGCGATGTGACAAGTTTAAACTGTGTTTAAAATCGGTGCGAACAAGTCACCACAACCTTTGATTATAAAGCTCGGAATACAATCTACTCCAGTAGATAACTTCGGTTTAAGTTTTCTGATACCTTCCTCAATTTCATCCGTATCGACTCTGAAGCCCGATAAAACATCCTGGCAGTTTACTTCTATGTCAATAAACTGAATAGGTGACTGACCAACTGTATAGCATTGACTAAAAAATCTGCAAAACGGTCTGCCACCTCTGGTGGGGACGAAAAATACTTAGTGTTTCCAGTAGAACAATCCCGCAGTGAAATTTCATGTGAATTGTTACGAGTGTGCTGCTTTGCAAACTTCCAGAAAATTTCGGGGCGGCGGTTCAGACTGCGCTCGACATCATCAAGATGTAACTGTTTATCGCGCGAGTACAATTTTTTGACGAGAGAACGATAAATACTAAATTGAGTGTACCAGAAGCTAGAGCCTGTTTTTTTTAAAAGTCTATGAAAATGATATTTTTTCTTAAGGTACATTTTTAAATCATTGGAAAACCAGTCCGGGTAATTGGAAAGTTGCGAATTGCGTTTTGGAACAAAAATGCTAATCGCGTCCTGCACAACTGACGTAAAGGCTTCTGTTGCGAGATTTGTGTCATCCATTGCTAGAACAGCGCTCCAGTTATAATTATGAAGGTATTTATACATTCCCAAATAATCTCCTTTGGGGTAACAGTAGGCGCAGGGTCTGCTCAATGCTTGCAACTTTCTTGGCAGCCGTATTTGAACATTTAGTGCTGGATGATATACATCCATTTGTACTAGAGGGACCGAAACTGTACTAATTGATTCGCTTGGAATATTTGATAACACTAGGTCAAGAACGTTACCAAGGGAGGTTTCGAAACTGTTAAGCTGATTCAGCCCACAAAAATGTATAAAACATAACAACCCAGCTGCGTTATTTGATGTGATTAAGTCGCCACCGTTTATAACGTCCAATGACCAATCTATTTCCAAAAGGTTAAAGTCCCCGTAAATTTGACCTCTGTACCTATTGAAGTTTACTTGTTGTTCCAGCGTTTCAAGATGTTTGATAAAATTGAAGGATCGCATAGCGGTGTAAAATAGTAGTTTCCAATAAGGTAATTAAAACCATCGGCAATTTTAATTTCTACCCATAAGCATTCTGAATACGATTCTAGGTCGAACCTTCATTGTGACTAAAGCGAAGAGTGAACCGCAATTAATACAGCCCCACCTAGCTTTTGCCCCGTGTTTATGTAGTCTCTGTCACGGCGGTAGACATTGTAGTTAGGTGTGAAGTAATTCGAATTCGGAATGCCATCGCAGAGCCACGTTTCCGATAAACAAATAACGTCAAAGTCGGAAGTAATAAGATTAGACATAAGCTCATCAGCCTTTGTGCGCAGTTCTCGAACATTTTGGTAAAAAATGCTAAGCACTTCCGACATTTACATCTGATGTCGTTCCGAGGGGATAAGTACGTGCATGGTCAAGCTGGCCAAAAAACTGGTGGAAAATGCTGCCCTTCGGCCAAACTTCCGGTTTGTTAATGGCGTCAAACACGGCCTGCTCACAAGACAAATGAAAGGAAGAATACGAGGGGAATTTGGAACAGACAATTGACTTCCCGTCTAGGAACGGCTCGACAAGCGCCTGGACATCGGCAACCGACGTATCCGGTCAAAGTCGAGATACAAAGAGTGCCATTCGGCGCTGGGGCCTAGCAACAGCCTGCACAGTGTCTGATTTAGCAGTGCCAGAAGAAGGCTTGCCACGTCGTCAAGGCTTGACCTCTGTGAAGCCGTCATTCGTCAAGCTCACGGGATGCGGATCATCCCCACCACGAGAACCTGAGTATGGTATGGTGTGGAGTATGGTAAAATGTTAATCAATTTCGAAGCATTCAGGTCCACGACCAAATAATTATTTAGGCGACTAATATGTAATAATGTTATTTTAACTTGAAAACACAAATGAAGCAACCTTGATGAATAGGTATTATGTTTATAACCATGACAAAACCAATGAGCGGCCACATTAAGCGCTCTCACCTACAACTTTCTTGCGAGATTTTTGAGAAAGTGTTTTATTGATGCGAAAGCTTTAACTGTTCCATGGAGCGAGCCAACGTCATCAGCTTGAAGCGCGAAAACGACACCTAGTTTGCTTCCAAGGGTCCCATTGGCTGGCGCGCGGCAACGAGGCTCCTATTGGCCGCTACGCGCGTCAGTTTCAACCACCGCCACCAGATGGTGCTGCGTGTTCGTGCCGCCCAGAGCCGTCTATTGGGAGAGTTTGGCCAGTGGGTGTGGCGACGAAGGCGCCGGAGAGGAGAAAAGGAAATGAAAGGGAGGAGAGCGCCGAAGGAGCGAGAGCGAAGGAAGGGAGCGGAGACGAGATGACCGCCATATTTGAGCAACGCTGTCGGAGACTGGTCGGAGAAGAGCACTGCTGAGGCTACGCGTCGTCTGCTACGGGCAGACTTCTTTTTCGCCTGAATTTAAGTTTGTGGGCCATAAGCCGAAAAATCTTCATTTATTAGCTTTTTAACCCACCGAGGAATAACAGAATGTCATTTTCTTGCCAGAGCCAGCAATATAAAAGGCAATAATCGAGATTTAGATGCCGATCCCACGCATTCCGCCGGAAGAATGATCGAAGATGGCGGCCCTCCCCACTCAGGTGGGAGCAGCCGGGAGTTCACGAGCATGCGCTCATGCCTCTCCCTCTACGCCACGTGCTCATTGGCTCACTTGGGAGGAGAGCGTTGCCGCGGCGAGATCATAGACTGACCAAACTCTCCCCATATACGGCTCTGGTGCCGCCAGGGCGCTGATAAAACTAACCGCCGCAACCCCATACCACTACGGTCCCCGCGCCGGTTAGAACGGACACGTTGGCGCGCGCTCGGAGGCTTCTGCTCGTCTCGCCGCCGACCAACATGGCGCCGCCTGCATCATCCACATCGTCGGCGGTGCTTCTGCTTGTCTCGACGCCGACGAACATGGCGCCGCCTCCAGCCACCACATCGTCGGACAGTCATGCTTACGCACTCACAACTCATAAGATGTGCTTAGGTGTCTTCCGACTTTTTAAAATTTCAATGTATTCAAGAAAATACAAAACAATATTGGATTTAGTGCTGTATTTTATAGAAGTACATCAACGGTACGACTGCTTTCCTACCGACGCGCGTCCGTATATCTTTGGTATATAAACGCTGTATTAAAGAAAACATTCATTCCCAAATACTAACACGTGGGGAGATAACAGTCGAATACAGCGAAAGCGCAATGTGTAATTTAATGCCAAGCTTGAAGGACAATAGGTGCTACATAACGTGATAGTTTGAAAGTTGTTTGCCAAATAAAATAATATGTTGCATCTAAGGAAGACGCCATATACTGCAACGAAAATCTGGTTTTCAATAAATCAAAATATTACTTACAGGCCATGGATCTCGGAATATATTGAATTCGGTATCCTGCAGTAGCATGCTTTGAAGGGAAGGACAGCTGCATTCCGAAGAGCATTTAACAGACGGGTATAGAACCGCTATTATGAGGCTAAAAAATGTTTTCATTTTGGGCCCATCAATGTCAGCAGATTCAATCTGAAAGGTGCGTCTGCATTGAAGCCAGAGGAGTTGATATTGCTGATATTGCGACAATAGCCTCAAATATATATATGTGAAGTGCGTCATCGAAATTACGTCTAAAACACGCAAAAGCTTGAGTGAGGGTCTTGACATTACAATATTTTTGAGGTAGACTGACGTGTGAAATTGTAGTCTCGTACCAGCTTGGGATTTCGACGCGTATAGTGTTTGTGTTCATTAGCAAAAAAACAAAAACAAATTTCCAAGGACACCTACGCACTTTTTTATGATTGTGAATGCAAAAACACGAATGTTGTTCTTCGGCTCCCTTAGTTCGTGTGCCGGGGTGTACGGCCACATTTCGCTACTGCCGAGGTTGCGGCCGCAGACCACATAGATGCCTCAGGCGCCGCCATGTTCCTCGGCGCCGAGAGGAGCAGAAGCGGACGCGGCCACGGCAACCCGTGACAGGAGAGCGGCGGCCGAGCGCGAGCCAGGGGGCACGCGTGATACCGAGCGAATAGGAATTCAACTATCAGTTCGCTGCTACAGACTACAGGCTTCGCTCCGTTAACTAGGGGATTTTAGGTGCCATTCGGCGCAGCTTCAAGATCTGAGAACAGCGGGTTTCTCCATGGGACAGATAATGCTTTCCCATTAAAAATGATGAATTCCGTCTTCAATTTGAACATATAGACTTGGCGACCTTTATTAGTCACGTAAATATCACAATAAATTGGCTAATTAAGTTAAATTTATTTGGTTTCTTACCAGTTATCGGTTTTAGGGCCGTTTTACAATTTCGAAAGTAGTCTTTAATCATATTTTAAGATGCTGACTACTGCAACAGAATTTAAAATTAGCGTTTATAATACTTTGTTGTGTTTCAGGCTTCCCGATTTGCGAGCTCAAATTGAATGTAGGAGATATTTAATTTCTCTATTGTTGAATACCTAGAATGCTTTCTTGCTTGGGATGTATAGACGCCGGATATGTACATGTGACACCCGAAATTAAATAAATACCGTTACTCCGCTCAAAAAGTAACTAAATACGTTAGTCGTTACTGATTCTCATGAGTGACGCGTTACTTGGCCTTAGATGTAAGGAGTTAGCTTTCGGGTTACTTTGAGCACCAAATGCACAACTGCGTTTGTTTCAGCTTTATTGATTTCTTTTCAGCTTTCGTTGCACTTAAGCAGTAGCTGCCTCTCGAAGTTTCTATCAGTTATGTATCGCCCCTTCCTTGAGAGTACATCTCCGGCGACGATGAAGAGTCGATCTACTGACGCGCTCGAAGGAAAGGCAGTGTTGCGCTTCAGGAAGAGCTGGTGAATCTGGGATTCCCATCTCTCTCTTGTTATCTCTGCTTCTGAAGTTCCGAGTTGACATTGGGTTCTATGCCTTCCCGTGTTGACAACCTTCGGGTTTACATTCGGTCTGCACACGAGTTTAGAAGGTTCAATCAACGAACCTTATTAGGGAGTTCTAGAATAACGCACGCAATTTTATGCACGCTAGCGCTAAATTTCGCACTTGCGTTAGCGCACGCTGAGCAGGAGTGTTTTAGAAGAGCGTTTCTTCGCTGCGACGGAAATGCCCAAGCACCTCCCGCTTGCAACGCCACAAATATACAATGAGACTTTTTATTTCACATACGAAGTGCTGTAACTTGAGAAAAAAAAAAATTAAAAAAAAGTTTATTGCGTCATAGTCACTTTTGAGATGTTTTCAAATATGTGAATGCGATGGGAGCGGTCGACCGGTCGTGTTTGCTTGCGTCGCCTCGGCAAGAGAAGTTAGTGTACTGACCTCAACGCACCGTAGTACCGGTACTACCTTCGCCGAGAACCGTTCGAGCGTCAAAGGCTGCAAGTTGCCGGCAAGCGTTCCCCACCTTGCTGGGTCTTCCAAAACGTTTCTGACGTGCACCTCCAGTAGGAGTCCAATTTCGCCCTGCGTTGAACATCGCAGTAGAGAGGATGCCGCCGACGTCGCCCTCCTGGGAGCCTCCATTTTTTCACTGTGCTCGTCGTGGCTTTAGTGAAGTTCTCACCATAAATCCTCCTTCGAGGAGAGCAAAGACTTTGCGTACGCGCGCAATTTCCGAAAAGTAGCGGACCCTAAAATAGCGCACACGGAGTGAAAGACGTGTTAGCGTCAGGCGCATGCGCAGTAAGGATAACGTTTTTTTTTGTTTTTTTTTTTGTTTTTTTTGCTTTAGCGTGCGCTATTCTAAAGCTGCCTATTGTTTTCGCTGGGTGAAGGACATTCCCAGCTGTAGAGTTCGACTACGTGTTCAGCGATAAACGTTTCCAATACTCATACTGCGTAGCTGTTTTTCAGATTGCCCATCTGCCTATGGCGCAAGAAACGCATACTGAGCTTAGGATTAAAACGAGGCTGTTTAAACGGTTTTGTACGCGTTACTCGCAAATAAGTAACGCAATAGCTTTACTCGTTACTTGATCTTAAAAGTGCATGGCTGAGTACGCTACTCGTTCCTTTTTCAAAAAGTAACTAAATATGTTAATTGTTACCGGAAAAAGTAACTAGGTAGACCTAACTCGTTACTACTAACGCGTTACGTACATTTCTGGTATGGCAACTTGGGCGCTGCCATAAATTACGTTAACCTTACTTTGTTCTTATTCCCACCATAAACCTTTGTAGAGGCTCGCCAACACCCTCTTCAGTGGGTCGGCACCTCGACAAAATAAGAGAAGGTAAGCAATGCGCCTGTAATATGGCGAGTGTGTAAAGCTCTATACGCTATCATGCTTCGGAAAACGGTCGATGGATACTTCAATTTGTTTCGGCGCTAAGGCGCTAAGGGTACAATTGTGACGTGGTGGTTAAAAACCAAAGCTGCTGGTTGTCAGCTTGACGGATTCTGACGTAACTGAAACTAGGTGTAAGCGGTACGATAACGGCAGAAATAAAAGGGTGATTTCCTCACATATCGTGCAGGCAGAAAGTAAAATTCTAAATTTTGTAGAAAAACGTGCATGTTGTAGGAAATGTTATTCGCAAAATAAAGGTGAAAAGTGGTGTTCGAGATATTGTTTTTATCGAGTTATGAAGCGCAGAAGTGGCCACGGTGGAAACGAGTGTTTTTCCCGACTGTCGAGGTAGCATATATGTTTGACTCTCCTCCCGTGGTTTTCGCCTTTGCATTAAATTGTATTTTTGACTATAGGGTCATTCTATGTCCAACGTCCAAGGCGTTGCGCTCGACCATCTTCGATTTCTAAAAAAAAAAAGAGTTCATGGCCTCTTGCCGCATCGTCCGCAGCAAAACCCTAAAATATTTTTGACGAAAAAAACATTTTTTTGATGGTGTGAGCGCGGTTTTAACTTTTAAAAATAGCGTGAAAAGGTATCACTCCATATTTTATGAAAAATCTGCTTTTTATAAAACATCCAACATTATGTTTTTTAATCTGCACGGCTTTCGACTTGCACTGTGGTTGGGCTTGCGCAGTTTTGTTTAATTTAAATATTGTTTTAAACACAACCTCTTTAAAATTTTAACATATTTCTTATTTTATTAAATATACCTAATTGCTTCGGGGACTTAATAGAACGTTTTACCGACGGCCTTGCAGGTATATAATCTATAAAAAAATATAAACCGCCCAAATAAATATTTTGTAGTAAAACAAATCCTGAAGTTGCCAAAAAGTGCGTTTTGACGCATAAACAGCCGTTTATTTTACCCTGAGGTGTTTCAAGTAAAAATATAAGATATATCGGGTTTGGACGCAAAATTGATTGTCTTTTGATTCTGAAAGTTTGATCAAAGTAATTTTTGTTTAAAGAGAGAAAACAATTATTGAAGTTGAACTCCCGCTCCACAACCCGGCGTCGCTTCTTAACGCATCTTCGCCGCACAGCACGCCGGTGGGGTGCTGTGCGGCGTGCTGTGAGGCCGCACAGCTGCGGTCCGCGTGCTGTGCGGCGCACACCGGCGTGCTGTGCGGCGAATCCCTTAAAGGGAAACTCCACTCAAAAAGTCGACCCTATGAAATGACTGATAACGCTTTAGGGGGACAAAATACGGTCATACCCAAAATATCACGTCAAACCGACGCCGCATGAACGATTAAAACCAATATTAAAAATGTTCTCCCCGCTCGGTTAGCGACCCCAAAAAGGGTGAGTAACGCTGGCACCGGGTGAGCTAGTGAAGCAACACTGGGCAATGACGTCGGTTTAGTCCTACGCTCTCGTACGGACGCCGCGGACGCTTCGCTTCCCGTGGCATTCTGCGTCTCTGCTGACGGCATGAGGTGCTTACCACGTTATCCTCCGTTCTCCTATTTTTATTAGCGTCCAGGCGGCTCATTTAACTCCAGCATTGCTTCCGCGACAGCGCGGAAGAGAGCGAAGCGGTGCTGCTCGCTCACGCGCGTGTCGTGGAGCCGGAGAGACTCGCCGGGCTCGTGTTGGGCAATGTCGAGCACGACTTGTAGTGCTGTGAGTTGCACCAACAATCTGATGCGCAACCCGGAGCTGCGGTTCCACAACTTCCCAAGAGACCGGAAGAAGTACAAAATGTGGGTCGCTGCCGTTCGCCGGATAGACTTCGGAAGACCGTTGACTCCGAGCTCCAACGCGAAGCTCTGCTCCCAGCACTTTACGTCAGACACCTACACACGGGATCTGCGGCTGCTGACTGCTGCTTGTTTCTCCACGAAACACGCGTCTTTGAAGAACAATGCGGTGCCGTCGTTGATCGCGTACCGTCCCCCGGTTGCTCTGCAGCACGATCGGCCGAACGTAGCAGGTCGCGGCTGATCTAACTAGCCTGCACATAAAGGCATCTTAGCTATAACAGCTTAGACCGCTTGTGGATACGTCTGTCCATATATCTCCCATTATTTCTTTTTCTCTCGGTCCGCGAGCAAAAAATAAATACAGTCACGCTGCGGCGGCACTGACCCCGTCATATTTATAGCAGTCGGATTCATTTTTTGGCCGGG